GCGTTGGAATTACCACCAATGAATATAAAAATCAGTGATCTTTCGTGTAAAGAAAGATTTATACTATTTTTTAAAATATTTGGTTTTACATTTTTAGCAATCTTGCCAGTAATTATAAAAGGTGCAACAACGGATTTAGCAGAGAGTTGTATTCAAGGATCATTACAAAAAGAGAATTGCTTGGATCCTATTGAAGTAGATCCAAGCACAACTAAATATAATGCACTAACACTTCCTGCTTCTAAAATACCGCCAACATATATTCCTAATATACCAACATACCATGTTCCTAATATACCAACACCCCCCTCTATTCCAAGTGTTCCTAAATATAACCAAAGGAATTAATAAAAGAGGAAGATATTAAATCTATATTATGAAAGTTAAGATTTTGAAAAATACAAGAAATAAAAGATTTAAAAACAATTAATTTCTAACACAATTATAATTATAAGAATCTTTTTAACCTGAATTAAATTTACATTTATTAAGTATATAAATAAATGTTAATAAATTAGCAAGCTTGAGCATTAAAAATTTCTAATAGATTAATAAAAAGTAGAAAAAGTGCTAAGCCTGATTATAAATATATACTATTGCAAATTATTATTTATTTTCTACTAGTAGAAAAATTTAATACAATTGTAAAATATGGTGACCTATACTTCTTGTAAACCCGTCTTTAGCAAAGTAATCATTATAAAATTTTGGATCAAAAGTAGGCGTTTGAGTTGATTAAAGGGAGTTAGAGATGAGTGTACTATACTGTATTATACCAGCGCAAGGACCTCATTTTGTGATTAGGCTTCAGGGTTGTGATAACGGTGCAAGGACCTCATATTGTGATTAGGCTCAATGGCTGCCACAGGCAATGCAAGAACCTTATATTTGGTGATTGAGCTTCGCAATTATAATAGCAGTGCAATAACCTTACATTATGATTAGCTCTGTGGTTGCAATAGCAATGTTTGGAGATTAAACTCTGCAACTACGATAGCAGTAAAGGACCTTACGTGGTGATTAGGCTCTGTGGCTGCGATAGCAATGCAAAGACTTCATGTTATGATTAGGCTCTATGGCTGCTGCAGACAGTGCAAGAATCTATGTTTTGTGATTAAGCTTCGTAACTACGATAGCAGTCAAGACCTCACGTTGTAATTAGGCTCCGTGGTTGTAATAGCAATGCAAGAACCTCATATCGTGATTAGGCTCTATGGATGTCGCAAGAAGTGCAAGAACCTCATGTTTGGCGATTAAGCTCCGCAACTATAGCAGTGCAAGGAATTTATGTTGTGCTTAGGCTCCATAGTTGCGATAGCAACGCAAAAACCTCATATGATTAGGCTCTATGGCTATGAAAGTTAAGGCTTTAAATTTTTTTTAAAATGTCAATTTGCCTTATTTCTATTGACAGCAGCCCACATAACGGAATAATTGTAACGAAATAATTTGTTGATCATCGGATATTTTACTTTTATTATTTGCCGTTTCGAACTCCGCCACTTAGCCTACACAACATTTACATGTGTTGTTATTCCTATTGGCACGGTCATAGGATAACTTTTATATGATGGCTGATTAATTTTACATTATTTATACATTTTAAAGTACTTTCAAAAAAAAAAAATAATAAAACTACGAAGAATAAATGAAAAAAAGTACATGGAAGCATTATTAGGGTTATAGGATACCACTATTGAAAATGATCAAATCTCTTTTTGTTTTAGCGAAGTTATTATTAAAACAACTTAAAAACAGATCGAACTAGATTATTACTACGCTAACTTCTTTAAAATAAAAAGGGACTTTGATTATTTTCCATGATGGAGTCCTACAACACTAATAATACTTCCTGTGCACTTTTTCATTTATCCTTTGTAGTTAAACTGTATAAATAATGTAAAATTAAATTGACTTAATCAACCAATCATCTAAAAGTCATCCTATAATCGCCACAGTAAAGATTAATTTTATGCTTTATCGCGTTCGAAAAATGTCATTTAACATAATGAGTAGGAATTAGATCCAAAGGAATACGGGAAATACTTTTTTAAATACTTCATTTATGATTTGTGCGTTGGTTTTTTGCATTTTTTTTCGTTTAAATAAATATAGCGATAATAAAATTTTAAACACTGCCAAGTAATGCAAAATGCAATAAATGTAAACCTGAGCTTAAAATGAGGATAAAAAGTTATTGCGTTAGTTATTTTCAAAATTAGCCTTATGTATTTGTGCTCTATTTTATTGAAATGAGAAAATCTTAATACTGCTTCTCTAATTATTAGTGAGCTAAAGCTAGATAGCAAAGTGAGTTCTAGTATCTATGTTTAAATTACATTCGTATTATTATTAAAATTTCAAGTTTGCTTCGCTCGGCCAGAACATAAAAAATGTAAAAAATAGAAATACCACTTTAAGAACTATTTCTTGATTTCAACAAATCATGTAATCAGTGCCATGTTGATACCTTATACTGCTATATCTAATTATTAGTTGGCACAGCGAAGCCGCCACATAAACATGCACTAGTAAAATATATAATAAAATTTGAGCTGCAATAGCTCTTAAACTAGCAAATAAACAAATAAAATTGTATTTATCGAGTTTGTTTTAATATTTTCTTTAAAGTAAATTACGCTCTTTTTTTGTTTTCTTACAAATTATTTGATATTTTTACTAAAAAACCGAAGCTTCTATAAGAGATTGCTGTGACAACAGCGACAGATAAAAATTCCAACGTTACATTTTTGATGTTTTTGTTAAAAAATACATCAAAGCGAGAACTTTGCATATAAATTGAAAGTCCTCCACTACATTCCAAACAATAAAAATGAAGAAAAAAGCGTTATTACTTTAAAGAGTATGTTAAAATGAATCCGACAAATGTATTTTTATTTATTTGGTTTTATTGGTTCAAAAGCTATTGTTGTTTAAATTTTGTGTCTACAAAAAATCTTTAATATTAGGTCACGCAAAGTTGATTTTCGTTTTGCATTACCCGACCGACCCATTTTTTTTTTAAAATTTCTACTATTTATTTTTTTTTTCCGTCATTTTAACCAGTTTCACCGACGGAGACTTTAGTTTCCCGAAATTATCCGATATGGAAGCAGCAAAAAAAAAAAAAAAACCGATCGACCGACCCAATCTTTCGGATCCCATGTAATGCAAAACGAAAAATTAACTTTGCGTGGCCTTAAAGTTTTTTTGTGAGTGCTTCAGAGCGAAAAGTAGAGGGGAATATTTAAGTTTTCATCAAGGCGAATTTAACCCGATATTACGTAATGGTAGTTCGATAACAATAAGTTCATACGAAATTTAACGACTTTTACTACGTAACATCAGAATTCATCAGGGACTAAACTCACCATGGTGTAAACATAAATATTCACTTCCAGTTTTTCGTTCTGCAGCACTCATTATGTTTGTGATTATTTTTTTTTTATTTTATTATTGATAAATAAATTATCTTGAACAAAAAAACCAAAATTAAATCCCATACTTCATTGTATGACAATTTGCTTTAATCAATATATGCATTAAATCAAGTGACAATTCAAACTAAAAATTTCAGGCGGGTGACAAAATCACCCGCAATATGTAATGTTGCTAGATATATTACATATGTCATTGGGGTGTCACATCGACTATTTAATCAAAACTATGTCAGTTACATTGATAATTTTACTATGATCAGATTTTTATCAGTAAAATTAAGGTAATTAATCGAATAAAATTTTACTTTACTTATTTATAAAGAAAAGCGCAAAATTCTAAAAACTTCACATAAATATTGCACTTATTTTTCTAGTACATCTCCGCCACAATTACCTAGATAATAATAGTTTACTTTCTACTTAGAATTATTATACAAACCCTATTCTAGTCTTATTGAAAGTCATATTTTCCTTTTTTTTACTGTTATCTACTTGTTAAATTTATTTATTGGATTATTAAATAATGCTAAGGAAGCTTATAATAATAGAACTGAATATTTGATACAAAGGCTAAAGTAACAAATTTTTTATAAACTTCAATTTTAACCAATTCATTTTCTTTTTTTGTTATAGATATTGACAGAAATAAAATTGGGTTGACTTTTTTTGAAACAACGAAGATGGCAACATTGGTTTCCAGAATACAAGTCAATTTTAATTCTTTTTTACATAATTATTAATCAAGAATGGATGCTAACCTAATAAATACATTTTTTAATGACCGAGGCCAGGCCTCACTCTTAAAAATATATATATATATATATATATATATACATTTTTTAATTGTTGCTATATTGTGCATAGAGACAAGGTTCATAGTAAAATTATAGAAATTAATAATGATGATAATTTGCCTGATGATGCAAAACCAATTATTAGCAAAGAGTTTTAAAGTTAGCCGGAATAAATATAGAATCTAATAAGAAAATTAATTTAATTAGATAATGATGATATTAAAAAGTTTTTGGGATTAGTTAAAGAGAAATTAGTTAAAGATGAAGGGACTGAATGATAAAATGAACAAAGTCTTACAAATATAAAAAATTTATTAAATCGCAATATACTGTTATCATACAATGTACTTTAGAGGTGCTAAAATTATAACGGAACAGTAATATTATAACATTTTGGTGATTGATATTTTTTTATTATAAAAATGCAAACTTTTATCCATATTCTAACATGTCTGCTTGAGTTTTATTGATTTATCTAATATAGAACCTCCCATGAACTGCCTTCCGACACAATTTTTTCGATTTCTTGATCACAATGGACTTCATTATTAATGTATTGTTCGGCACGTTCATAAATGCTAGCCCATTCACGTCGGTATTCGATTGCAAGAACCATATGATCATACTAGTGGTCCATACTGTTTTATCAATATTTAGGACACGATCTTCGCAACAATGTGATTTGTATAAATCGAAGAGCTTCACTGGTGATTCATACCCAAATAAATTGGCTAATGTATTTGAAGGTGGAAAACTTCCATTTGGTGCTTGTAAAGCTATGATAACGCAAAGTGTTGATAAATTAAAAGGATTTTCCTTAAGGTTCGAAAGAAAATCAGGTGTTGGTAATGGAAGAGGTTCAAAAGAGAAAAACCTTGCTTTATAATGAATTTGACCCTTAGTTGAAAGTTTCGCCCAACTAAAATTCAAACTATATGCATTAATATCATTTTATTTTTTAAAATATCTAAACAATACTTTTCACTTACATATCGATGTCATTTTGTGTGCCTTCATAAATACCTTCAGAAATTTCTTTGATAAAATCTTGATTAACATCAAAATGATAATTTCCAAGTGATTTATCTTCCGTACTCGAACAGTAGTCCATCACATCAAAAATGAATTTGTCGCCAATATTTTTAATCGGAATATAATGAACTTCATTCCAAATCGGGTCCAAATCATTATCAATAATTTTAGTCTGCGTAACAATTTCTTTGCTATCCTCATTAAAAATTCGAATATAAGATTTTCCTGAATAATTAGATCATATCAACGTATTAATAACTTACTAGGCTAGTAAATTATAATGTATAAATTAACTAGAGTTAGGATCCTTTGAATATCCATCACAGCTATTTAATGAATATTCACGGATTTTAGTCATTCGCGAATGATACTGAATAAATATACAAATTTTACATGAATATTCATAGGATATTCGGAGAATTCGCATATATTCATAGAGAATTTGCAGATATTCGGAGAAATTGCAGATATTTATAGAGAATTCGCGGATATTCAGAGAATCTCACGTGATTGCGTTTCTCATTTATCAAACATTCGCATTGCACAGAGAATATTAATACGGATATTCATGATATAATTCTTGACTATTCACGGATTTTGTTTACAGAATGTTCACTGCTAATTTTTTATCTGTGAATATTCACGGATCCCAACCCTAAAATTAAAATATTCAGTTTACCTTTAGTAAAGGAAGGGTCGATGTTTTTAGCACTTATTAATTCTAGTCTAATAACACCGATAATAGCACAATCTAGTGATATAACCGTTAGTAAAGTGATGAAAAAGTAACAATTTAAGCATCTTAATTTTATATTTGTATCTTACCAAGACGTTGTTTCTTATGAACAATAACAAATTTAGACCTAAGATCGTCTTTAAAGTTCTTCGATTTAGTGTTGGTGAGAGTAAGATATGATCCATCTTTCACAGCTGTTCCTTTAAAGAGGACCTCAATCACGAATTTGGGATTTTTTTTTTAACGCAATACGTCCCTCAGTGGTAAGGATCCAATGCTGATTATTAGCTTGATTTGAATTTCTTTTTTGGTGAACACTGAGATAGGTCCCTTCTTTCACTATAATAGTAAAGTTGATTTATTATAGTTTTTATATAGTTTAATGCTTTGTAAAACCTTACCGAATTCTACTTCCAGACATAAATTTGTTTGCTTGTTAATTAGAAGGCCATCTTTATGACGCCAAAGTTGATAGCCATCTTGATCAACGTTCTTTTGTTGAGCGATAATAGCTTTTGTTCCGTATAAACTGCGTTTAATATCAACTACCAAGTTCTGGGCGAATGTGGATGATGTAGAAACATCAGACAACGAAATAGCTGATTTTATATAAAAATCACCCGAAGGAAACTGGAGACTATCGTCTTTTCTGCATTTTTCTGGAGAAAGATTATCAAACTCAGTAGTCGTTATACTATGAGTTGAAGAAATATCACTTTCAGATTGTTTTATATTACTGATTGTTTTATGATCACCATCAGGCATTGCGTCAATTAACGTCGATGAATCAGAAATATATGACACAACACCTTTTCGTGGAGGTTCCTCATCATAACAAACACCACCACCGAGATAAGAGAGGAGAGGTGACTAAAGGCATTAGTATTGGGGACGGTAGTTTCCTCTTTAATAGGTGATAATGAAACAGTGGGAAGGTTACTTTGTGGACTCATTGCTTGAGATATTGTTATACTTTCAGATGGTTTTATATTACTGATTGTTTTATGATCACCATCTAGAAAGTTTTTGGCTTTGGGTCTCTCATGTGCCACATGGTCTATATGTACTTTTTTGAGTTCTGCTTTTTTTAGTCTTTCTATTTCGTTTTCTTTTCTGAGTATTTCTTTTTTTAATTCCACTTCTTTTTGTCTTTCGAGATCTTTAAATTTTTCATTCATCATCGCTTTTTCTCTTTTTTCAAGTTCTACAGAATCTTGATTTTCAGGTTTCTTCACAAATTCTATTATTAATTTTTTCTCACCACCCTTTTTAAGTTCCGTATCTTTTCTGTTTTCATTTTTTTGTTTTTCAAGCTCTATAGCTAATTTTTTTTCATTCTCATCTTCAAATCCAAAAGCATTTTGCATTTTAGGTATTTGATATTTTTCTGCGACCAATTTTTTCTCAATTTCTTGCTTCTTTTTTTCATGATCCTCAATATTTTGCGTTTCAACTGCAATAAAGCTGTTTATTTGAACAAAATAATAAATAACTAGCATAATATATAAATTTTATGACTGTAATCATTAACATTACCTAGTATATTTGGAACTAAGATTATAAGATTTTGCCAAATTCACAATTTGTTTACGAATATATTCTTCATTCTTTGCATTATTGGGATAATAATTTCCATATTCAATTTCTTGAATAAGTTTTTTGGTAGCAAGTGTGTGAATTTTTGATCCCTGTAAGGGAGATTGATCTAATGGAACAATTAAAGGAACTTGAAATTTTGATTTTAATGTGATTTGGTCGCATGGTTTAACACCCTTTTCTAAAATACAATAAATTATTGAACGAACGCCAATATAAAGTTCTGGAATTTTCAATGGAACTTGCTGAACTTTGAGGCAACTATTCTGAGATTCTTCATTAGGCTCAACAGTCCATGTAATTTCATAATCTGAGATCGGCGGATTTAATGAATTCCTAAGCATGGTCATCGCTTTCTTGTTCATTTGTTCTAAATCGGACACATGCTGTGCATATCCCTTGCCGACTCGAACAATGGATTCGATGAAATGATGAGAAATAATATTATTCATTCCGATTGAAAATATTCTTAAATCATGTTTTTTTTCTTGATGAACTTTTATAAGTTTAACAATTCGACTTACATGCGATGTCTCAAAATCTGAGAACATAAGAACTGATGTTAGCATATCAGAACGTGAATGTTCAAATACCCACTCTAAAGCTTCATAAATGTAAGTGCCACCCTTTGCAGTGATTTTTTGAACTTTTTTGATGGCTTCCTCGACATTTGGTTTTGTCCACTCCCGACTTTTTTCAAAGAAATTATAAAATCTTCTGTGTCCAATTGATAGCACATTAAAGAAGCAACTTTCCGGAATAGAAAGAAGCAAATATTGAAGAGCTTTAGATGCTTTCTCAACAGATCTACCTTTCATGGACCTAGAGCTTTTATGATGATTATTATTACTCAACTGCAATGAGGTAATCAACATAATTTAATTTAACTAGTTACCTATCAATAATAAATATCAATTCCATCTTAATTAAATTATGCTTAATTGAGCCATGTTTGAATGTCGGAACTAAAGTAAGCATTAAGCAATTGGTCTCAGTTATGGGGTTATATTCGATAAATGCTCTAAAATTTGAAAAGAATGCAAGTTATAACGATAGAATAGCAAATATAATCTATTTATCAATAAGATTTCTTTAAATGTTAGTTACCGAGGCTTATCAATGTCTTGACTTTTAACAAGAAGTATGAAGTCTTTTTCTAAAAAATGAATATTTTCATTCAAAGTAACTTTAGATATACTTGGTTTTTCTTTTAGTTCAGTAATGTTGTGAGAAGGCGATTTGATACTACAGATTGGTGAATTCATCCTACAAACTATGGAAAACTCGAGAGGGGGAAAATCCAAATCTGAAATTTTATCGAAAAGACGCATCCTTTTGTGATTAAAAATATGCGATCCATATTTTGGAGCAATAGTAGCCGGCAAAGTGAACCGAACACTATCTGTTTCTGTGTCGTGTTTAAGTTCAATCATGTATTTAATTTGGATCTCAATTTTTTGGCCGGGCATAATGTTACCAACAGAACATTTAAACACTTCTGAATCTTGTTCTTCAAGTAAATAAGCACCATGACCTTGCTTAATGATTTAATAATATACTTTATGTTGATAAATGTTATTGGCATAAGATTAATGAAAATTTTTATCATGAAATACGATAAATACTTTTATAGCTTCATCATATTCCTTCTTGGCTTGTTCAGTTTCTTTAACTATTCCTATGATTTTTCTTTTATTATCTATTGTAGCTTCAAATCCGCAAACTGCCGCGGTATCGCAAATCATAAACTTATAAACAGTCTTTATTTTATTTTCTTCTATGTTCTCGTATGTCTGAAAGATATTTACTGAGATAAAAAAAAGAAAAAAGTGATTGAAACAAAATTGAGCTTATGCTTATCTATATAAGAATATTTATACCTTCCGCTACCATATCGATGACTATCAGCATATATATGTGCATTGGATATTAGAATCGCTGAAAAATAAATTTTGAGTCATAATGCATAAATAAACCATTACCATGAGCTTCAATTACAACTTTTTTCAAAGGGACAGGTCTTGCACTTTTTTCGTCAGTGGAAATAAGCATTGTTGTCGTTTTTTTTAAAAAAATGAATATTAAGTAATACCAATACAGTATCGGAATGTACGCATTTATATTGGAATGCGATGTGGCTTCAAACAGATTAGTCCAAATTTTGCAATATCATCGAGAGCTTTTATATATCCAGGCCAATTTAGTCCAGTGTCGTAAGTATAGATGCTGGTGAAACTAAATAACGCTGGTGAAACTGGTGACTATCTAAAACCTGATTGGTTGTTATATTAAATTTCACCAGTTTCACCAGTTTCACCACCATTCACCAAGAGTTTCACCAGTTTCACCAGCATCTATAGTCGTAAGCATAAATCCTGATGGTAAGTTTCACAGTCCGGATCCGTACGTAGGTGGTAATAGTTATCGAATAGGGTAAGTATCGTTTTTTCAATAAGACTATATTCGTAGGAAGCCGTCACGGGTTATGCCTAGGTGATTAGGGTCCAAGTCAGGTCGTTATGGGTCGCGGTTAGGTTACTCAGGGTCCAAGTTAGGTCGCTGGTTTCGCGATTCTTAGTTATATTGGGCTAAAGCGGCTTATAGATAATAATAAACTTGGAGGGCAAGTCACTTGTTATCGTATTACAGGTACTAACAGCTGTATTTATTATTAGAGCCAAGCAGAAAAGAGTTAGGTCATGTATCCACTGTATTTATTACTTGAGCAGAGTTGCTTTATTTATTAAGCAAGCGCCCGCGCCCTATTTATACATTTTGATGTGCAAGAGTTTCAAACCCGGAATACTCTCTAAGTGCACGCCCTTGGGACCACACTTTAACAACGTGCATTTAGAGAATAATAAGAAAAGGTGCAATTATAGAGGTTAAGTATATATTTGGGCCAAAATCTAAACGTGCATATAGGCCGTGTAACTTACATGTAAATTACGTCGTCAGGTATGTTTTAACAACCCTAGGTAGAATTAATTCGTAACTCTAGTAAGAATAATTTAGGTAGAATTAATTCGTAACTCTGGTAAACTTAATTTGGGTAGAATTAATTTGTAACTCTGGTAAGCATAATTTTGGTAAAATTAATTAGAAATTCTGGTAAACATAGTTTTGGTAGAATTAATTTGTAACTTTAGTAAGTATAATTTTGGTAGAATTTTATATAACTCTGGTAAGCATTATCTTGATAGAATAGTTAATATACAGTGGCCTACCATATAAGTGTGGACACTTTTTGGATCGTGATTGCTCAAGAACGGATAAGTATGCGCAGCACGGAATTTATATCACGTGTTCGGTAGATCCCAACGTACAACATACTAAAATTTCACTTGGAT